TTGATAAGACTGGGACGAAACCGGTTTTTTAAATGCCATATAAATTTTGCTTATTTCTAGCTATCGTTAAATTTTGGACCATAAAAACTTATTTAAATCTATATATGTACGTACAAGTATATGGGCGTGTATGTATATTTTTAAAACATACCCATATCTAAATTTACCTCCTTTCTAGTTGAGCACTATAATAGGTGGATTTTAAAATTTATATCTAATACCCTAATCGTCACCGGAACATGGAGATATTTAACTTGGACTATTCCACTAAAAACATCATGGCCTCCGATTATAGACAATACAAACTAACTAGAGCGTTATAAAAAGGATGAGATGGAAGTTATTCTTCTTTAAATCGATACAAGAAACTTTACAATACTACGATAAAGAAACTTATCGTTTCAAATCACAAAAACTCCACCAAGCGATAATCTAGTATCAAAATTAGAAATAGAGTTGTTCTTAATAATAAGAAAATATCCAATTTAATACAAACACCAACGACCTACAAGATGTAATGCGTGAGACATTGATAAGATCAAGAAATCTGATAAGATAATTATCAAATCGGATAGGTCTGGAAACCACTATTACATCGATGCAGAATTATACCCTGAGAAGTCAATAAATTTTATAAAAAAATGGCTGACAACTGGGAAAAAAGCTATTAAGTATGATGCCAAAACAATAGCGTGTGAACTGAAAATAGAAAATACAATCCCCAAACTACACAAACAGCAAGCATTCAACACGATTAAAATCCACAAGGAGGATTTCCTAAATAACCCCCAATACCTACTGCTTAATCCATCCAAAAATAACATCGGTATTATTAGTGTTGAGGGGTCACCCCTTTTTACACAAATGGACTCACCCAGCATATACATATACTACTGCTACGTGAAGACCCAATGGAACAGAGGAGGGGTGAAAGGTTGTAGGTAACCGGAAGAGTGAGAGTAAGTTAACAGACAGACCGAACGAACGTAGCGAGCAAGTGTCACCGTGAGCGAGCACGTAGACTCAGTAAGAAGTCATACAGCGATACTTCAATACCAAAGACTGTATAGATATTTTGCTACTAACCCGTATTCCCAGAACTACTAACCTGCATTACGAGTTTGTATTATTACGTTAATACATTATTTTCATATATTCATTCTTGGCGTTTGTTATTTATTGGTACCGGATTTCAACCCGGAATCCACAACAATTAGCAAAACCATTATGGGAAGAGCGTGTAAGTATACTAAAAAAGTCTTTAAGTGTCAACCAGTGGCGAAAAACAGCTGAAGTCATTGAATGGTTCAGTAATATAAAAAAAGAAAGCTGAATGCATATTATTACAGTTCGATATCTGTGACTTCTAGCCATCCATCACGGAAGATCTACTGATGGCCGCTAGCAAAGAACTACTGCCATATTTCTGATCAAGATATAAATATCATACAAAAGGCACAAAAACCGATTCTATACCACAACAGAAGTCCATGGACTGAGAAAAATAACCCAGAGTTTTGCGCATCCAAGGGAGAACATGATTCTGCAGAAACATGTGGACTTGACAGGATACTGTTACCACGGAGACTCAGGTTGAACTCTGATATCTCTTTGGCTGTCCGTTATTGTTGGCGACGACGCAAATTGACCGACCAGTTCATCTTTCGAGGTCCACAGAGGCCTAGTTTCTGCAGGTACTCCGTAGTTTCATGCGCTGAATGCCTAGGAGCATTATCTTGCAAAAATACGATTTTTCTCTTGAAGGTGATATTTTGCTTTTTTAGCCAAGATTCCAGGTGCTCTTTGAGGAAGGCTATATAAGTATCTGCGGTTATTTTCGTACTGACTCTCACTCTCCTCCGACCAACCATGATGCCTCCAGCAATCCCAGCCCAAGTCATAATACCTTGTTGGCATGTCAAGCGTTCATGAAAATCTCGTCCATGTACGACGCAACTTTTTCTCCAACTTTCAGGGCAATCAAGTGTTGCCCGATTTTCATCTGTCACCAGAACTCTCGAGAAATCGACTTCATGTTCTACTTTGTCCATTTCAAATGCATTTGTATGCGTACTTTTGGGTTCTTTAGAGCTTCAAGTTTTATTAATGGCAAAGAACGTCAGGAAACAACCCAAAAATGACCCTTGTCAACCCTCTTACGTACGTTTAGGAGCTGCAACAAATCTTTTCACAGTTTGGTGATATCTTCCAATTATTTTGGATATTTCGAATGTAGATTTGTTTTTGGAAAGTTCAGATATTATATCTTTCGCAGAAAAGGTCAAGTGACATTTGCGACTCATAATTGCATGATTATAATGACACTCGTTTATAGTCTGGAACACTTCTATATCGTCTTAATATTGCAAATGGCTACCGTTTGTTTCCTGTTGAGCAGAACAATAGAGTTTTTATACAGCCTGCGCATAAACCTAATCCTATTAGACTGTGAAAAATTCGTTTAATTCCGACTGGTAGGTTTTGGTGAAAATGAAAAAAATGTCACCTCGTTAATAATTTGTAACGCAGTATATATATATATATATATATATATATATATATATATATATATATATATATATATATATATATATTGATTGATTGATGCATGTTTCATTAAATAATATAGACATGTTGCGTCTATTTATTTTAAGTAAGTTCCTTTCATATTGTCTGATAAGCTTAATAACATTATCATTGAAAGACGAAAGGAAATCACGATATTCATACATGTTTGAAACCAAGTATAAGTATGTATATATATATATATATATATATATATATATATATATATATATATTTAAATAATTTAAGTAATTCTATTA